CCCACGCGCGTTCCGACACTCAACTGCTTTTCCTATTCCTGCGAGGATTAGTATTCGCGCCTTGCCTATTCCTACGAGGATTAGGCTTGCCTGCTTGTTCTCGCATTGTGCTTCGCGCATGTCGCCTTGCGCCCCGCGCTCGTCGTCCAGCACACCTATGCCTACGCAGTCTAGGCCATCGCCCGTGTTGCCCCACGCGTCGCTGCCCTTCGTCCGCGCGTCCCTGCCACCTCCGTGCACGTTGCGCATGCCCAGCGTGGTCCGCCCGCCTGGCCACCCCTCGCACTCGCTCGTGCGCCTATGCGCACTCGCTGTCCACACGCTGCAGTCCCTCGCGCGCATCAACCACCCAACATCCACCCCCTGCGCGCCGCTTTGCCTAGCCTCTAGACGCCATGCNNNTCTACGCCAATACGCGTGTGTGCCCCTTCTTGAATGCGCCCTTTCTTGCGCCCGAACGTCGTATGCCTATGGACCATCTTCTCGCGTGCCTTCGCGCACCTCCATGTGCGACCTCGCATACGAGCTCGTTCCCGCCTTTTAGGCCATGCTTGCATCGTTTTGGCCCTATTTTCAGTCTCCTCGAGTCCTCTTGCCTCTCGGCCCTTCTTGTCACAGGGGTCCGGAACCCACTTCCGTATCAGCGGGCCTGTGCGCACGCTGCCAGTCGCGCGAGCGACCACGACCGACCCTTGCCAGCCGTCCGGCAACAACTCACGACCAAATCAACTTCAAATAACATAATCTGATATGGCATGAACATGACTACTGAAATAACTTGAAAACATGAATTTTGCACGATAAACTGAATATGGCCGTGGCGGGCGCACCGCGCGCCGCCGACGGCGTTAGGCCGTCTCTCGACCGACTTAACTTATATCTCGACAATTCAAACTCAACTGAACATGATCAGTATTTACTGAATAAAATAGCATGATATACTCGAAGGATTTGAACTTAACATACTCGACGCACACGCACGACCCGTGGTGCGCTATATGCGCGACCACATCCCATGGCCTAACTACCGAGCCAAAACATGAACATTTATCGAACAAACCATTTGACTGAACATGATATAACATAAAATGACTAGACATGCGAAGGTTGTTCGGAGAATTCGACTTAAAACATAACATGACTCGACACGGCTACTCGCACGACCGAAACAATATGCGACACGCATACGAACATGAACTGAAAATTAGACTTAAAGAACATGCTAATATCAGCTTATACTCATACGGGAATTACCTCCGATTATGCTCAATAAACTCCGCTCGGTGCGGCGTTCACGCGTGCGCTACGATCTCTCGGTGTGCAGTGCGTGCGATGCTATGTGGTGGCTTACGTGCGTGCGGTGCTATCTCCGTCTCAACCTCACTAAACTCTCTTTGCTGAATTATATGATGAATATATATGGCTGATGAAGTGGGAAAAATTTCACCCAACACTCCCTTATATACTCAACCGAAGGGAAGAACAATTAGGGAAAATGAGGTGTTTGGTGGCTTCACCATTGCATGACACCTATTAATCCACAAAGCTTAGTCATCCAAAATGAAGTTAGTCATCGCTAAGCATGAAAAATGAATGACACCTCATACTTGCTTAACTAAAGATGAGAACAATCCTCCACTAATTTCCCCACTTTATTCCTTACGGCCTTTAAGAAAATAATGGAGAAAATTTGGTACGGCTTTGAATTCAATTGAAGAAATCCGTACGGCTTATGGACTTAAACTCGTGATTAATTGTTAACTAATCACTTAGTTATGCTTAATTAACTATTAAGCATACTACTTAATTACCAAAATTATTCTGGACGTAAAGGGGACGTCTGAAATAATTTCGGGTGATCTTGACTGAAATAACTGAAATAATTAATTTCGAAAATAATACTCGACAATATTATTATATCGGAATTAATAACATGATTTATATTAATAAAATGACGGGATATTACACCGTGTTCGAAAACAAGCCTTTCCAGTGACGTTGATTATTTTATCATTTTTTCCCCTATTTACTCTTATTTTCCTCGACTTCTTTAAATGTATACGATTTTGCTTCGAAACGCTATGATGCGAGAAATATATGTTATCCACATCAAATATCAGTGTCGTGTTCGCAAACAAGCCTTTCCGGAGACGTTGATTTATTTTTTGTTTTTGCCCCTATTTACTCTTATTTTCCTCGACTTCTTTAAATATAAACAATTTTGTTACGAAACGCGATGGTGCGAGAAATATATGTTACTCACATCAAATAATGGTGTCGTGTTCGAAAACAAGCCTTTCTGGAGACGTTGATTACCTTTTTGTTTTTGCCCCTTTTTACTCTTATTTTCCACGACTTCTTTAAATGTGTACGAATTTGCTTCGAAACGCGATGGTGCGAGAAATATGTGTTATTCACATCAAATAATGGTGTCGTGTTCGAAAACATTCCGGAGACGTTGATTATTTTTTGTTTTTGCCCCTATTTACTCTTATTTTCCTAGACTTCTTTAAATGTAAAAAATTTTGTTACAAAACACGATGGTCTAAGAAATATATGTTATTCACATCAAATAATGGTGCCGTGTTCGAAAACAAGCCTT